GACGGGGAGTTTACTCGGCAGTATTTCGAGGATAGTAAATGATAACAGCGATAACTGCTGGCAGGACTATCTATAATTTCGTATCTCCTTGAGGGCTGCTTAGAAGCAAGCTGATGACTAATTTGTTCCTGGCGGGGTCAGTACCAGTCCACCATTGAAATAAATGAACAGACTGAAGAATTACTTGTTAGACCACCGATGTAGTCAAACTCCCAACCTTCCGATCTTCTACGCAAGTGATATTTCCCATTGCACCACGTCAACCAATGAATCAGAGGAGATTTTGACTCTTGCCTTCAGACCTAAGTAAAATTTTATCCAAGCCACGACTGTAGGTAATATCCAACTTAGATGAAAAAATCAATCAGTTTGTAACAAATTTAGAAAATTCCAGTTACAAATGTAGGGAGTTGTAGGTTCATACTGCGTGGCAATCAGACATAGCTGTTAGTGTTCTGCATATATTTTGAACTTTTCTAATACTCATTTACCCCACTTTTTCCGACTTTTCCAGAACTACCAGGCTCTTGCTGAACTGTCATAGTGCTGTTAAAAAAAACGCCAAACAAGGAACTATTTATTACCTGAGAAATAATAGGAAGTGATGACTGCGAAATTTTGGGTTTGTGAAATTAACCAATTGAACTGGAAGCCGGGCTTTTTACAGGCTAATGAAATGTTAGCAAAGTGCTTGGAAATACATCAGTACTGTACGGATCAGGCAGGCACTGAACGAGGACCACCGGGACCGATTGGGCCACCCGGACCACCAGGGTTAGTTACTCAGTTATGCTAAAGTAAAAAGCCACCCTCTTCTCCTCCTCTCCCATTCTGTCCCCAAATAATCCCTGTCTGTGATAAACTATGGTAATTGAATTATGTGACAATCATTTACACACAAATTTTGAGAAGGTTAATTAAAAGTAGATACTGAGACGCACAAAAATGTCGTAATTTACTTTTTAGATACCGCTTTCATCGAATGCAAGCATATGAATAACTGGGCTGAAACGCATCGGGCTTGCCGGTGCGAAAATATGTTTTTCCACTAGGCTTGAAGCAGTCAGGTTGTTAACAGTATGAATGGTCGTTACTTTACATTTTTTCCCACAGTTTCGGAAGAACACTCTCACCATATAAAAATTTACAAGTGCGTGCCTTGATCCGATCATAAACGGGTTCAGAGCGATCTCCTGCTGGGGTGATTTGGGCGATTTTTTTTCTTACATCGCAAGCCGCCAACCTTCCCTCGACCACTCGGCAGTCCCGCTGCAACCTTCCTCCCCCCTCCCCCCGCTTCTCGCTCTCGATGGCCTCCCTGCACCCCCTCCTCCTGTAGTCGCAGTGTTATTACAGCCTTCTAACTTTCGAGTTTCTCGAGTTAGCAGCTTACCCGAAAAAAATTTTGGCGGGCCTGTACGTGGGCACCGCGCATGCCCGAAGCCTGGGTTTGAGCTCAATGAGACTTGAGTGGACGGGAAATATCCCCTTAAAATTACAGTCTTCTAGCTTTTCTGGTTCCCGGGTTAGCGACTTACACGCAAAAAACTTTCACGGACCCGTACATGAGTACCACGCAGGTAAGACCGCCCATTTTGGAGGTTGGGGCCCGTACATGCATGTAGATTAAATTCGCGAAGTTTCAGCCCCGTAGCTTTTGTAGGTTTCGAAATGAAAAATCAGTACAGAGGCCCAGCGCACATACAGACATACACACACATACAGACATATACACACACACACACACAGAGACAACCTCTCGTCAATATGCGTTTTCTGCATTGCATAGCTGCAAAAAACGCATAAAAAATAAAATTATAAAACGTTCACGACTCGCAAATCTGCACGCTGGACCATTCTGTATGTATTACCAAACGAATTTGTTAAATAAATTCTATTAAGGACAAGGAGCAAGCCACGATTGCTAATGCCCGCATGGGGAAGCGAAAATTACTTAAATAAGCAGAACTGAAAAATTTCATTTGCTTCAGTAAATTACTGAAAGAATGGTGCTAGGACCAGACCATTAAATTTTCTTTCAGCAATCCTGGTGTGCCTGGACCACCGGGACGAGATGGTCTGATGGGTATGCCGGGGCCACCGGGTCCAGAAGGTGACATTTTTTTTTTGTTTGGGGAAATTTGCACTGGTTGAAAATTGTGCATCTTCCCATAGAATTTCGAAAGTGCTAGCAAATATTTTTTTGAGCCTTGAAGGTTTCCTTGAACATTCTGCAAGCTGGTCATCATCCTTTAAACTACTGGATTCGCTGTGATCCATAATATATGAGTAACATTTGCAAATATAGTTTGGACCATAAAACTCAGAATTTTTTAATTTTTGTAAAACCGTTTTTGGCCAGCTGAAGCTTCTCGCAAAGATCTTTATGATGATATTTTTGGTTGTATTCAAGCCAGTACTGGGA